TCCTGACTCATGAGGTTAGCCCTCCCATCCTCCCCACATAACACTTTGGATTTCCCTGTAAATTCAAGTGTTGGGCTCGCAAAATCAGGAGAGAGTGAAGCATGAGGCCAGAGGGTGGCGACACCTGTTCCCGCCAAAAGGGCAAGGGAGGCAACTCTTGGTGAGTACCAATTAGTGATTTTACATTGAAGGGAGCTTCAATTAAGGAGATACAAGTGTTCCACTATGTTCGCAAGAAGAAGAAGACAAGCAAAAGAGCATGAGTCAGGATAAGTATAAAATATCAATTTTACTCAAAAAATTACATTTTTATTGTGCTATTTCAAAAATACAACTACAGTCATCCCCAAAAACACACCCCTTTACGATACTGCATGTTCGGTTTAACCATGGGCTAATCTGTGGTTCCCATAAAAACAAAAGTTCCTCAGCGATCACACATGTTCACATCATCGGAAATAGCATATCAACAATTTCGCTGTTGTGCACAGGTTAATCATGTTGTAAACTAGCGAAATTCAGTGTGGATCGCAATAAAAAGTATTCATTGTACATATGCCAAGATGTTGTTTTTGCAATCCAAGTGGCATGTACTGTGGGAAGTCAATGGTGATTTGTCAGATGGTCTCATACGTAGAATGTATCCAGTAACTTACTCAAAGTGAGAAGGTAGTGTTAATTATTATGTTAGACTTACAGGATAGCAAAATATGTCATCCCTGAATAACTGCTTGAGATATAAATTCTTCTGATAATGGAATACAAATTAGTTTAAATGGGTTTTTTTCGGAACAGTTTCAACTGAATCTCTAGTAGATTGGAGCAAAACGTGTACGTAGCTGATTTTCCAGTGTAGTTGAATAACAGGTTGCATAACAGGAACGACAATTGAATTTTTATGTCTGGTGGTGTTTGATTGCAAGTTTCCCATTTTCATTTACAAAGTTTGTTTGTTCACTTCCAACAATACATCATAGTTTTACTGGGCACAATACATGCAATAGCACTTGTGCAATGCACATGGAAAATACTATTTGTTCCGTGTTATGTATAACATGGGGGGTCATCCATGGACCTCAAGACCCGGGGATTTTTGCCAATTGTAAGATGTCATAATATCCGTTTACCCATTTCTTTAATATTTTCATGTTTACTTGATTGGAAAGTTATTGTAAAAACATTTTTTTTCATACGCATATTGTAGCATGGTAACATAAGACAACTCCGGGAAACACTTCTATGTTCAAAGCTTTGTATGAATAATGTGTGAGAACATTTGTTTGCCACTGTCATATTGTCACTGCTTGGAGGAGTCTGCAGACTCTCCCCCCTGCTGGGACTTGTCAAATGTAGTCATTCTAGAGATTGAAGCTGAAGGAGGTGCTCTGGTTTGACCTTTACCACATGCCTTGTTGTCACTTTTGCCATGAAAAGTCCCTTTGAGGGCATGATTACCACCCCTCTTATGGAACAACCTCTGAAACTACCGAAAATAGTTTTTCTCCTCACAGTATTGCCCTAAATCAGTCATCAGCAATTTGGTTCTCATGGGCCACAGGCAAGACATGATACCAGCATTGAGTAAAAGTGTGGACTATCTGGACAGACAACTATGCCTTGAGATATGATATGGCAGCTACTCAAGACAAAGGGCAGAGATAAAGCATATTTATCTTGTGCAAGCCTTCATCAGGAAAAGATATTACCAAGGCTACAGATGCAAGCTGGCTCAAAATTGCAATAGCAGACAGCTATTGCCAGGCACAAAGTGATGTAAATAAATGACTACAACCACAAGTGAGGTAATAAGAAGTAATGTCAGAGCTGGAAGTAATGTCAAGAGGATCCGTACCCCTATCACCAGGTTTTCTCATCTATGTCATGTACAACATTACAGATACAAAGACAGTTTTCTCAAAGCAGACCAGAACAAGTTTCATCTTCAAAGACAGCCCTCCTGACTTACCTCATTTTATCTTTCCTGGGATTCCTGGTACACACAAGTTGAAGCATGTTCCAGTTCAGGACATTATACTCACACAGGACTCAGATTCTCGCTTCATAACATCAAGGCTGTCAAGGCCAGGAACATGATTCTACAAGCATTCGATCTGCCAATGGATCCTGGCAATGTAGATGTTATGCCTGGGGATTCAAATTTCTCTACAAGATCTTAAACTTCAGAGGAAGACTCCATACAGACTTGGCGGAATTCCCACAAAGCTCAGTCTAGACAAAGATGTACAACCTGAAGCCATTCATCTGAAGTATCTAAACAGCATCTTGCAGAAAATTGATTGTTAAAACAGGCATTTACTGTATGTTTCCTGTCTCAGTCTATCATCATTACAGTCATGCATCAGGCACAGGTTTGGGTGTAATCATGGATGGAACCACAGTCTAAGGAGTATGGTCAAAGGAGGAAAGACACTCCAAATTAGTTGTTTCAAGATGAAGTTAATATATAAGAGCGTCAATACATGGAGACCCAAGTTACATCAATCATGAGTTCTAGTTGCAACAGACGACTCTTCAGTGATTGCCTATATAAAGAAGCAGTTTGGTATAAGAGCAGAAAAATAGATGAAGGAGACTGCACTTTTGTTCCTATTATCAATCTCAGTGAACTGCAGATTAAAAGCCTGACACATTGTTGGGAAATTGAACATCCTGGGAGACTGCCAAAAGGAGCAAGATTATTCCAACAGAATGGTCTGTTCATCCTGGGTTTTGTTGGCCTTGATTGAGTTAGTGAGTGACTTTTTGAGGGAATGTAACACAAGAAATGGGCTTCGCACTTGGAGGACATGATGTGTCAACATGTGGGTATGCTCACAGTATATCATAAGTACCTGTGGGCCTACTCCACAAAATGTGAGAGCAAGAGAAAATGCAGATGCCTTCTTAGAAGGCTGAGGTAGCCCCCAAGCTAGGCATCTGAGAGGAGGGCTCTGTTGCTCTAATGGATAACCAGGATCAGGATGCACTGTTTACCATGGTCACTGCAGATGAAAATGTCCGATGACTACTTGACTGGTTCCTAGATGATCATGGACAGGTGGATAACGCTCTGAGATCCTAAGATGGGACCCTGAATACTGTTGAATGGGTCTGTGGACTGCTGAAGAGTATTTGGACCACAGTAAATCACTGCTGGATTAGTTTGCTGATGCCCTTGACCTTGGGAAGTGAAGTATTAGTTTTGTGGAACCAAGCCTGCTCACTTGAAACAAACTTAAGTCTTGAATTTTCACTTAAGTTACAGTTTTTACCCACATTTGAGAAAACAATAAATTGAAATTGATATTGAATTTAAACTTAATAGACAGTCTGAGTTTGGTTGATAGGTTATTGAGTTGTTTTGGCTTTTTTTCTTAAAAATGAAACTGAATTAGAAACTCAGCTGTTTCAAATCGTCAAATTCAGTTTGAAAATTGAGTAAATTGAGTATGTTTCTTTCGAGAAGTCGGATCCAGGTCTCACTGAAATGTTACAGGAAGAGAACCATTGACACAATGGTGACCAGTAGAACCTTACTAGTCATGTGGAACCAGATCCATGCCCTTAACACTGTCGTGAGACACAAGCCATGTTTCAGATCAGCAGGTATCAGCAACTTGGCCAGTCAGTGGGAGGGGAGGAATAGCCATCGGACACACTCAGATTGAAAGCAAGATCTCATGTTGCTTCTGGGGAACCGATGAAGATTTTGAGTATCCAAAACTTGTTGATTTACAAGCCTGCACACTCCTTTCCTGAGCAACTTTATCATGTCATGCAGGACGTCAAATTTGCTGAAGAGGATAGTGACGTACTTTAGATATTGGAGTTGTACGAAAACATTATTCTCTCAGCCAAGCTGAAAGTGGGAATGCTGAGGAATGCTTAAAAGTCCCATTTGGTATTGTTGTGTATGCAGTATCCCAGAGTGCCTTGGTTTATTCATCCAGTTTAGATAAGGATTGTTTTCACACCTCAGTACCTCAATACAAACATGCTTGTTTTATTTATTCAGTTTGGATAAGGATTGTGTTCACCCCTCAGTACCTTAATACAAACATGCTTGTTTTATTTATTCAGTTTAGATAAGGACTGTTTTCACACCTCGTACCTCAATACAAACATGCTTGTTTTGGTTTACAAACACAAATTTGACAAATCATCATAAGCTGAATTTGAACTGGTTTTGACTTTACTGAACTCTTGGGGGAATTCAATTTCCACCTGGACGGATGAGGTCGGACTTATACATTACTTGCATCACCAGGATGCAGGAGCAGTTATTCACTGACCAAATGTGACCATAATCTCAACCAAAATGGATGCCAAGACATACCATTTTCTGTCCAAAGTTAGAAAGCAGGTACCTTCAGAGCTGACCAGGAGGATTGTGATGAGCCTGACCATTGAATCACCTCATTTGTTTAATGACTCTCTCAGGAATGTTTTGGGGTGGATAGCTTTCTTCACTCTACTGTCAACCTGTTCTGAGCTCTGTCTCTGGCAACGAAACCTCAAGTTTATTCACACAAGGGTTCATACACTTGTACCAAATGTACTGAAGAGTATTTACTCCAACAGCTTTTTTCTCTTTTAATTGTTAAAATTTCAAATTCACTGAAAATACAGTATTTCAACTTAACATGGTGTAGCAGATATTTTGATTGAGCCATGTGATTATATCATTTGGTTGCTGATGATGCAGGTAGTGAAGAGAAAAGGAAATCGTACCCTGCTGAAGATGCCATATGCATCCATGATTGACTAAAGCAGTTGGTTACTGGAATAAGGAAACAAAGCAGTTTCACATTGCCAAATTGTGTTTAAGTGCCTCTTCAAGTTCACTTCGGACTGCATACAGGTCCATTCTGTGACAGAATTGTTTGTGTATGAGGTTGCTTCTGTGTCACATGTAAAAGGTTTGAGGAAAATTTAAGACAATCATAAGAAGTTTATTGAAGATCACGATGCATGTTGTTCATACTTTTTATTTATTGCAGCTGTGTCTCAAGAGGAGAATGCAATGGGTCGATTCTTGAAAGCTCAGAGCAGCCATGACAAGACCCGAGCTGGCAAGATGATGGCCGCTGTAGGCAAATCACAGAGCTTTGCGGCACAGCAGAGGTGAGATGGTCTTCAGCATTTTCTCACTTATATGGCACAATTACCATACAATACACAATATCCTTGTTTTTCTGAATCCTAAACACAGAGCTGAAACATAGGGCAGTCTTCCATTTCTGTCACTTAACAAGATTATATGGCTATTTGATGTAAGTGAATGCATTTTTAAAGTGATGTAATCTGTTGTTTGTTCTTATTTGAGGTATTTCTTCCATTATTGTGTAGTACATGAGTGACAAACACATCATTTTCAGTGGAATTAGATTACTGATTGATTGTGTTTCGCTTTGCAAAAATAACACAAGGTATTTAACTGGTGACATCAGGGACATCAATATTGCTCACAATTACTGTGTTAAAATAACATTATGACACATTACCATGACCAAACGCAATATATGTAACAACAGGGATTTTTGACAGAGCAAGAACTCAATCCACTCAAGAGAGATTTCTGGACTGTTTTTCTGTTTGAGAGGAACCTGCCTACCATTGCTTTCTTCACCCTTGTGAAGGCTTCATGCTATTTAACCCTGGGAGATAATCCCAAAGTTGAGTTTATGTGACAAGATTTGCACCTTCCAACCTAAGTTCAAGACAAGACTTGCTGTCCAGCTATGGCTGGTTTGATCCAAAGTCTGTTGATCCATTTGCACTAACATTTACCCACTTCAAGTTTTTGTAGTAACTCTCTGTGTATTTGGACTGGGTCAGCTTTGCACTGAACTGTCATCTTGCTGTCAGTCATGGTATCTTATATACTGGTATTTCGCTTGTTATGATGACCTACTCAGGTTTGGAGAGTCCAGTTGTTAGTTCCTTACTTAGGAGCTTGATTGTTATTGTTTAGTGGTAATACATCCTACAATGATCAGTGAGTTTGTTTCTGTCAGTGCACCTTAATGAAATTCATCCCTCTATTTATCTATTTTGCTCTATTCTCTTTATATTGTATAAATTGTTTTCGTCACAATATGGCTGAGATATTGCCGATGTGACATTAAATATTAACTCACTCACGATTTTCCTCTTAATGTGTGTGTGTTCAATCCCCCTAAATATCTTTTGACATGTACAATTTTACTACTCTGGGTGAGGCATTACTTTAGGTGGCTTTATTGTTAGTTAAGCACCATGCCGAGGAAATTCGAACAAACCTGTAGAGGTTGCTGATTCTTTGATGAGAGTCCTCCTTGGGGTACATATAAGCATTAAAATGTCCTTTTTTAATCCCTACGATAGTTGTAACTATATTTTGAATAAAATATTTACAAAACAAAAAACGTTTTTGTTTTGTTCGACCACCCCTACGGACCCCAGAATGGACCCGTCCGCCAAGAACAGGTAACTCTAGGCGCTAACCTCGTACCTCACTTTCCATGCAGAACGTATCAGACAGAATGTGGGGAGGTGAGTGGCCGTACCCCAAGGAGGACTCTCATCAAAGAATCAGCAACCTCTACAGGTTTGTTTGATTCTTTTCCATGAGAGATCCTCCTTTAGGTACATATAAGCATAAGCCAGACTCCTAAAGACAAGAGTCCTGTGAGTGGTATTCTGTCTGATAAACTACGCCCCTGACAAGTGGAATTTCCCAACTATATAAAGGAACAGCTCACTTACCTGGCCACGTGATCTCTTCAGCCAATCAGGCGAGGGCGTGGTCCAGGGTCAGGGGTAATATATTCTGCTCATATGCAAATGAAGCAGTGAACTATGCATGTAGTAAACAATAGTGCCCCACCCTCATCCCGAGTTTCATAAATACCTAGGGAGGGAGAGACATTAAATCCCATGAAACCGCAGCAAATCCTAGATTTCTAAGGAATAACGCAAAATAGATATACGGGGAGAACAAACCATCACCATAAAAAACCCAACACCAAGTAAGGGTTAAAAGGGAAGGAAAGTTGACCGCAAACCCGCCACCAGTAAAAAACAGATAAAGTCGTAAATCTAAAGCTCAATCGGCTAGAGAGTTACGACTCTGCCAACTGGAGAGAACTGACTGACCGAACTGAGCACGCTCACTGGAGTGTCTGTCAAGTTGATAATGCCGGATGAACGTACTCGGCCGGCTCCAGATAGCCGCGGAGCAGATCTCCTCAATAGGCAGAGCCGCAGCATAAGCCTTAGATGTGGCTACTTCTCTAACCCAGTGAGCTTTTAACCCAGAAGGTGGTGTTAACCCTTTCTGTGTATAGCTCGTACAAATGCAAGGAGCACTAACAGTCAAGCTGGTTGGGTGGCCAACTGCAATAGGACCTTGGATATCAGTGGTATCGGTGGGAATGCCCACAGTACCCTGTCCGTCTAGTCGAGTTGGAAGGCACCTGGAACGACCCGTACAAGATAATCCCGAATATCCCCCGGTCTAGCATCCACTCGTGTGGAGCTAGTATATGACGGGAGGGTGCGTCCACCCGAACTTTGTCTACCCCCGGGAGATAGACTGGCATCACTCGTATGTTGTAGTGGTCGCACCATAGCAGAAACTGTCACGCCTCCTGTAGCAAGAGACGCTGATACCGTGCCGCCTTGCCTTCAGGATATAGGTCATGGCCGTCTGGTTGTCCATCTCTAGACGAACCACTTGGCCAGAACCTGATCCACAGCTCTCGAACACCTGTCGGACCGCTCTCAATTCTAGCACATTGATATGCAGACTGATCTTGTGCTCCGCCCAAAGGCCCGAGACTGCCCTGTCGCCAGAACAAACCAGTGACAAAACCTGCCCTCTGACCTGGCTAACTGAGCCTGGATTAACATGAGTTTGGTGAACACCCTTGGCGCCATGGAGATACCAAAGGGGAGTACACGAAACTGGTAGCACTTCCCGTCGAAGGAGAACCGAAGGTACTTCTTGAAGTCGGGGTGCATTGGTACATGTAGGTAAACGTCTTTGAGATCGATTGACGTGAGCCAATCCCCTGTCTTGACGGAGGAGATCACTGAGCGCAGTGTCTCCATCCTGTAAGACGGCACTTCTATCATTTTGTTCAGCCCTTTTAGATTGAGTATGGGTCTGAACCCTCCGTCCTTCTTGGTCACTATGAAATACATAGAGTAAAATCCCTCGTAGAGGAACCACCTCGATGGCTGCCTTTTCCAGTGGAGACTGGACCTCGGCACAGAGAATGCCCGCTTTTTCCTGGGAGATGGTGGTGGACCTTGCTTCCACTGTGGCATATGGCCGTCCCTGAGTGTGGACAGGACCCAGGGATTTGAAGTGGCTTTCACCCATTTCGGGAGGAAGAGTGTTAGCCGGCCGCCTACAGGGACATGTGGCATGAGGCAGTGCACTCGTACAGTCGGCAAGTCTCCGCTTGCGTGTGTGAGAGGCAACAAGGGCGTCCGAGGGAGATTTAATGGGAAGCTGGCTTCCCCTTTCCCTGAAAAGACTGCTGCGCAGCTGCAGCCTTTCCCTTGCCTCGTGCCCTCCTGCTCTTCTTAACCTGCAGTGGAGCAGTCCACTATGCAGGCTCCTTCGCCGACGCAGAAGGATACGAAGTAGCAGGAGGCGCAGGCCGCTGGCGGGATGTGAGGGGTTGCTCTAGTAAGGGCTTAGAGTCCTTAAAAGTGCTTACCGCCTCGGCGGCCTCACGCACTACTTTCAATGCCCCAGGTAAAAGGGTGGAACCCATAGTGTACGGCAGAGAAAGTAGCGCCTGCTGAGTGGCTGGCGAAAAACGCGCCACCGACAGCCACAAACGGCGCAGGCCCATGACAGCGCCCATCATCATACTAGCACAACAGCGGATACTGTCACGTGCAAGATGTGAATGGACGTCTGTCAACTGCTTCTCCAACGAGGGGGACGACGCATCATCCCCACACGCTCCCTGATCTACCAGTTCCCCCTGCAATGCAGATAAGTATGCTGAGTAGACTGCCACCCAGTACTGCTGAGCTGCCGTCCTATACTGCTCTTCAAAAGAGCGATAGGCCGACTTCAGAGCTGGGGCGTTGGCAGGGAATGGCGGCACAGTTCCAAGCCAGGGAGGAAGAGGAACCACCACCGGCTGCTCAAACAGTGCCTCCTCTACCAACAGGTACCGCCTGCTAAGCTCCGGTAGATCGAAACGAGAGCAAGTACCCGAGAGGAGAGGATTAATCACCTCTGCAACCAGTGTGTTTAGCCTCAGCCACTCGCGTAGGCGCAAAAGCCTCCCCCGGAAGGTGAAATTCCGAGAGGTCAGGCCGAAGCACAGGAACAGAAACCTGAGGCAGCGTTTGCGCAATGAGTTCGCGCACCTGCCTCAGAGACGATCCAAAAGAGTATGAGACCTCACCCTCAGGCTCGTCTCTGCCCCCATCCTCCTCCATGTCCACATCATCACATCCCTCGGTAACCGAACTCTCTGTAAAGAGAGACGGCTTCGTGAGCACCGTTGACATAGAACACGAAGGGCTCAAGGAAGAGATCATAACCAGATGGTTCAGATCGCCCTGTCCCTGGCTCGGACCCTAGCCGCGGGGCTGAGGCAACAAGGGAGGAACTGCTGAAGCAGGCCGCCCAGTGTGCCCAGCCAAGCCTCTGGGCACCGAGGGACCTGGTTGCCCAGGTATGCTCAGGCGCCCATCGGCGGCAGACGAATCCTGCGCCCTACCGGGGCCGGAGCCCGGGTCGGCACTAGGAACAGCAGACAGACCATCCCCCCGAGCCGAGACTCGGGGTAGGTTGCCCAGGGAAAGGTGCGCTCAACGGGCCTGAGTTCGGGCCGCCACCATCCCCAGCAGAGACACCTGGACCATCGAGACTTCACATTAGTCATCGGCTGCTGCATTTGTTGCTGAAATAATGAAGCAATTGAATCAATATTTAAGGCAGCAGCAGGGGGTGCGGAGGTTTTGGAGGTGGAGGGAACAGGTGACGACTCCTTAGAGACCCTAGCTTTCTTTGCCCCCGACTCAGCCGGTGGCGCTGAGCTAGTGGAAGATTTTTTGTTATGTGATCTCTTGGAAGGGGGTTCATGACCCCAGATATCACCCCCCGCCCGCATGAGATTGGAGAAAAACAAATAGTCGGCATGTCTCGATTTTTTTGAGGTCTTGGGTGAAAACGCCTGGCAGGGAACACACCCTGACGAATCGTGCGACGCCTCCACTAGACATCTTAGACACGATGCATGACCTTCCTTTACGGGGATAGATGACTTGCACGTAGCGCAGGTTTTAAACTGCAACAAAGGTCAAGTCTGACCACAATAATACGCATGGGCGATTGATAAATATAAATATTAACCATACTAGCATATAGACTGTACTTAAATAAGAACTAGTGCATGCTAGCCCACTTCATAACATGGAGCCCATAAAGCAACATATATGACGTGAATACAACTATTTAGAGTAAATCACGTAATATAAATATTCCACCTGAAAAGAGATAAATATTTACAAATTCAGTGAAACAACACACAAACCTAGACAAGAAAGCTACAGGCTAACCTGCAAAAGCAAGCGTGTATGTGCCTCCCGTCCGTCATCTTGACAAGCAGATGACAAGCAGATGGCAAGCCGACAGGGACTAAGACGAAAGTTACAACAAGTGATGAATGAAAACTTTCAAAAACATTTATCAATTATCGCCCATCTTGTCAGTCGAAAGAGAGAATCAACATATAAGCTGAAGGACACATTGATACCGACAAACGACAGCATGGAAAGTGAGGTACGAGGTTAGCGCCTAGAGTTACCTGTTCTTGGCGGACGGGTCCATTCTGGGGTCCGTAGGGGTGGTCGAACAAGACAAAAACGTTGTTTTTTGTTTTGTAAATATTTTATTCAAAATGTAGTTACAACTGTCGTAGGGATTGAAAATGGACATTTTAATGCTTATATGTACCCCAAGGAGGATCTCTCATGAAAAAGAATTGTTAAGACTGGATCTCTTGAAAAATCACTGTAAAGTTATGTTACGAATTTGCTTTGGTATTTAGAAATTATCATGGCAGGTGTAACAGAAATGTGTGGTAATGAATTAGAGGGCAAATAAGGAGGAATTTCTGAAGGTGGCTTGCACCAATGAAGTAGCCATTGAACCTGTTAGCAAATGAGAGGGTAAGATGCAGGCTCTTCTCTGGGACAACTCCCTCCCTACCATTTGCATACGGTTCTGCCTCTTGTTGGCCTCAAACCAGTAAATGTCTCAGCTGTTCATGAGGCAGTTTGGTATCAAGTTTGTAGAAACTTTAACCAACTGAATATGTTTGTATTGCTGATATGATGTCACATTTGGATAATGTCAGATAGATGATATTGTGTCCATGATTAAAATGACTTGGCAAACTTTGTCTTGGCCCTTCCCAGTGTTTTTCAGCTTTTGCCGTGTGTAAGCTTTGTTTATGGCTAAAGGAAAGTGTTTATGAGCAACTCACTGATGAACAATCATTGTGTGCTGTTCACATTGAAAAACAATTATGTGGATATTATGCCTCCGACAAACATGCAAATTGTGATGTTTACAATTTTGACAATAGTCTAGAGAGTGGATGTAGTTGTGGATTGGGGAGAAGTGACAAGTCTCTCATTCCGTGTAGATACTGAAGTTGTTCCTGACAACTGATTAGCATGGCTGACAGTGAAAAGGACGTTTGTTAAAGACCTAAATATTTTTTATGTGTGAAATTACAAGAATGCTGTCTATGATGTGATATGGGTAGTATTCTTAGAATTATATGCAAAGATAACTATATTGTTGATGCTTGACCACAGTTTCCTTCTTTATTGAAGTGTAATTTCATCCAATAAAGATGAATTTCTGAATTGTCGGAAGTGATCATTTGTTTCCTTTTTTGCAGGTTGGCATTACGTGTTCCGTTGGTGCGGCTATACCAGGAAGTAGAAACATTCCGATATAGGGCAATATCAGACACACTTGTCACGATAAACCGAATGGAGGGAGCACGCACAGAATACAGAGGAGCTCTGCTCTGGATGAAGAATGTTTCTGAAGAATTAGATCCTGACACCTATAAACAGCTTGAAAAGTTCCGTAAGGTAAGGTTTGTAATAAAATCTGATAGCAATGTGGGTACAGCAATAAGTGTAAGTGAACAAATTCAATCTTGTCCTTATTCCTTCCTTGAACATCTAATATTCTCAGCAGGGGGAAATAGTTGCAATGTACAAATTCTTACACACCTGTGGTCAGTGTGTTCATATTCTGGAAGTGTTAAAATACAAAAAATGAACAGATGTAGACATAGTAGAACTTTATTTATGTTGGACATGACCCTATTTCTTTTAGTATCCTCATAGAGATATTATTGGCTAGTTTACTGAACCATTGGTTTAGAGTGTTGACATATCTTTATCTACCTTGTGTAAGGAGTCGTTGTCCATCAGCCTTTCAGTAGCAGTGACCTTGAAAAAACACATCCTCATATAATCCACTGGGCATATTGTTTTTGATTCAAATTGACATAATTCTGTTTACACAGAATAAAATGTTAACCTGATCATTAACATAAACTAATTTTTAAATCTTTCTTGAATGTTATAATGTGGCCATTGCTTTGATTCTATGTGTAGTAGCAACTGATGGAATGTCCTACTTATTACTCATTAACTGCACAATGATGATGATCCACACAATTCGAAGAGGACAGGCCACACCTCTGTTGTTGAGTATTGTGAAGGATCTTACCCCGATACTACAGTGTGACATATGCTCTCTATCATTTTGTCCATCTTTTCAGCCTGAGAATCCATTGAGATGTTGGTATCTCATGCCAAATCTTGTGAGGAAGCTCACATCTGACATGGTACAACTTTTATCAATGATAAATTCTGGACTGTTATGGCCTAGCTCCTGCTTCAATCCTGTTCTTGGGAGGATGACTGTAGTGTGCACTTTTTCCAGCTACCTTGGTCGTCTTCTTTTCCTACACCCATTTTATCTCCTAAGACTGCAGTCTAAGTAAACTTAGGTTCAGTATTATTCATTACACTGCTAGTGCTATTCTGAGTCTAACAAACCCCAGTAGAAAGTCGCCTCAGCTAACCTTTTGAATTAACCAATCAGACCACAGCTTACCAAATCGCGAAAATTAACATTTGCACATACCGTTTGAACTTTTACCTCGAAAACGTTTGTACTCGAATGATTCTGAATGCTAGTTTCTGCATGATCGCTTCCGAGTGATACACATGGAGGACGCCATTATTCATAACAGTGTATAAACAGTCGCTGAAAATAGCCTTTTTGTCAATATTCCAAGATGTCATCTTGCGGAAATATAAGCTAATAGTAACCATGTGATCAGAAACCCCTAAGCGTATATCAGGTCAAGTATCTGTGTTTCATGCAGAGTGTTGAGTGATCAGTGTCAGCAAGACAAGAGAAAATGAAAAAAACATTTTGTAAGTCCCTCCAAACCCTAAATAGTAGCTGTTGTCTGATTGGTTAAATCCATTCAGCCGTCTAGCGTTTGATTGGATGGTCATGGATCGCTGAAAGGTTAGCTGACGCGACCTTCTACTAGGGTTTGTTAGACTCAGTATAGTAGAGTAACGAATAATACTGAGCCTAAATTTACTTAGACTGACAATGCGAATGACTTGAAGAATTACTGTGTTAAAGAAAGAAGCCAACCTAAGCACAGTGGGATTTATGAGAGGCCTAAGGAAGTTGGCTTCCTTTCTTTGCAAAGGATGTGGGAGATGGATGATCTCAGCCACAGGATCTCAAGCTTCTGAGTTACCGTTTGGATGACTTGGACAGTTCGCCACCATTTATACCTCTTAAAGAGATACCAGTAGGGGTAACAATAGACCGATCCAGTCTGTCAATCAAAACTGGCACATGCGTCAATTTCGGCCAATCAGCAGACCGGGCGCGCTGTGTGGATTTGTCAGACTTATTTCCGGGGTCAAACGATGCCCCCGAAGCGATGTGCTTCGAATTATGCCATTTACACACGCTATATCTATCACATATTGCTGCGATTTGACGTGTACCTTTAAGAAAACCATTACGGTAAAGACAAAAAAATTGAGGCTGATCAAGGAGTGCGATAGGCCAAACGATCAGTTAAATGTCTGCACCATTGTTCACGAAACCTACGTCAGCCTGCAGATGAGAATTTGCACGAATTTCCACACTTTTGCACATGTGCAAAATCATTACCAGTTGATGACAACAAATAGAAGTTTAAGACTTTGCAAGTGTTATAAACACGGACAATTCTCGTAACTACAAAATTGTTTTTGCTTAACGTTTTTAGTCACTACTGAGCATTGTGTTGGTAGGCCATAAAGCTGAAATGAGACAGGCGAGAAAGCCATGACACAATGTAAACAAATCTGACAGCGATCTGATTTCGGTTAGGGTCGACTGAAATAGCAAAACTTGTTACATAAAAGAACAATGTGGCGGATATTGTCCCCTTCGCTCTTGGATATTCTTAAATTTGTCACCCATTTTCGGATGTTTTAAGTTTCAAAAGCACAATCTGAAGGCCTACTGCAGTACTGTATCTTGTTAACATAGCAAAATATTCGAGGAGTAATATTTTTATTCAAACGGAAATATTGTCAGTGTCAGCAGTTGCCCATCATGCAATATCCAAGTATCAAAATTAATTCATATGAGTGCCTATAAAACCATGCTTTAAATATTTCAGAATTTTATAAAGAGATGCATGGGACTTTGAATTGAATTACCTTCCTCCATGTTGATCGAATAGTGAAGAAGAAGAATAGTGACTTTCTTGAGTTTTGGACGGAGTGAAATAAAGTGTATACTAGTATCTTAATTATGAGAACATTATTTGAAGTTTTGTTACAACATAAATTATTCACATACATTGGTACATTTTTGGAGTAATATTACAACTGTCATTTTGATTAATTCACTGGAAATGATAGCAAGGTATGTTTTAAGAATCTTGCTTTTTTTAGTAAACGTGGAAGGGTAATAAAATAAATAATAATCTAACCAATTATACATAATTATTTAATTGATTGAGATATCAGATTCATATGATTTTAAGGCAGAACTAGGCAAACAAACACTATACATATCATGGCAGGACAATCACTTGGTATTAACTTAGTTTCTTGGCTCCTGCTTTTAGATGTTTTTTAAATAATATATTTACTAATAAGATAATTCTGAAAGTGATTGCTAGTATCATAACTCAATGAAGTTATTTCAACAGCCAGAGAATTTGAAAAAGCAAAGGCTACGTTTTGGTCACACCCTGGTCAGGCGTTATCCAGTCCTGAAACAGAATAATTTACAAAAATCTCAGTTGACATTTCATGTAAAGGAATACATATTGAAACATATTTAACCCAGATTTGATGTAATTCTTCGTATACATCATCAGTTTGTGTAGGAGGTTAATAATAGTTGAAGACAAAGCTAGTGTTTATTAAGATTTTGGTTTTGGACAAATTGTTCAAGGTTTGTTGATGGCTATTTGGAAAATGAGCTTCATATTAAATTGCACACTGTTTTTTTCATGTGTGTTTTCCTAAACCTTTGTTTTGACTTTTACCAAATTTTGAATCAACTTTACTATAATCTTTATGACACTAGTAAGTATCTCAAAAAAGGAAATAGATAAAAATCAGTGTTATGTCCTCCAGGGATATGGTCTCAGATCTAATAAAACAAAGATTATCATTATGTAATTGTATTGACAAAATGCTTTGAACATAGGATATATTCTTTGCACCTTATTTACACTAATAGTTAGCAGTTAAACATCTCTGATGAAAAAACAATACATCTGTATTTTATGTAACATTCTATTTCAATGCTAGTTAATTGTTCGGATAACTGTGGATCCTCTGTGCAAAGATTTTGCATCACAGGTTTCCTATTTCTGGAAGATGGGTCAGTGTACAGGTGCAGACTGTATCTTGCATCTTCTTTGTGTTCTGGTGCTGTGACATATCTGTACATAAGTCCAGTATTGTGGAAGTTTGTATATAAATTAGGATTCCACAACAAAGTACATATAGAAAATATAATGGAAAGGATGATTAAAAAATGGATTTCCTTATATTCAGTGTCATTTTAGGATGGTGTACTGATTTTGAAGAGGGAAACTTTACTGAGAATTGCTGCAGATCAGCTGTTGAATATCTGCTTCTGGGTATGTCCAGATCTAGATACATCCATGGAAACATACTGTTTACAAGCCCAATTACCGTTTCCAGATTTCCAAATAAGATCAAATAGGTTATGCTGTGATTGATTTGTTTACATTAATTATATCATATACAGACAAATAAGGTGCACGAAGTAGTAGACAGGAAATATTTTCTGCTTTTTATTTACCATTCTTTTAATTCATTAAAAGATAGAAACCCATGTTTTGAGGTTATTGATTTAACTAACGGATAACTATTAGTAAAGGCGCCATGCGCCATGTTGACAATCTATTTATAGATACCGAAACGATCTGCAACCTGAACATGTGGTTGTGTTCATGTTTTTTATAAAATTATGATGGGAATTTTTGATGAAAACCCCAAACAACAAACTTCAGTTACCCTTCCCCTGCTAATATCTTTGACGGAGGTGAATTGCCAGATAGATTGATTGATTCAAAAGAAAATACGCTTCCTACTCTCAGCAGATGGTCGAGACGATTTTTCATCGGGCATGTAACTCATTTTCACTCATCAATTGCAATCTGCCAGCTAAAATATATTAAAAATCACATCAGATAACTTGCCTCTTTAAATATCATTCAGAAACGACAGATACCAAAGTACCACGAGCAGAATTCATCAAAAACGTTTGCAATCACGTACATTTCGCTGGCGGTGACGCCATTGTGATTATAGTCAGTGGTTGTCCCCCCTAACGTCAAAAACGAAGTGGGCGGGACTTATCGGTCGGGACTGGATCGGTCTATTGGTTTTGTTGCTGACAACTGGACCATGCCAATGTGCCAATCTTCAAAGACCAATAGGTTCATTTGTAACCAAGCATGCAATAGAGAACTTGGGTCCTAATGCCATAACCAATGGGCTCTGTTCTCAAATTTTGCCTGTCCCAGAGGATGACAGTGGGCACTACTTCTGATCTTCAACCTGAAGATTTTCAATACATTACCTTGCAACATCACCACACTTCAGCATGCAGCAATTGACCAGGAGACTTCATGGTCAGTCTTGTTCTTCACATCTGGAGTTCAAAAGCATTGCCAGTTCCCGACTCTCCGACCATGTAATAAGTTTTGGGCCCTTTGACATTGGCACAAGCGTTCACACAGAGAGGTCAATTACAACTTCAACTAAGACACCATCTTGTGAGGCTGTTCCTACATAACAACAATTACAAAGTCAGTTTTTGTCTCCTGATACCATTACACCATAATCTCCAATGGTTTGAGTTGAATGTATGTAAAGAAGTCTTGAAGAAGTTGTTTGCACAGGCACATCGATGCCTCTACTGTCAGTTTGGGATCTTTTGAAACACCAAGCCTGAAGACGGTATGCAGATGAACGAAAGTTTCACAATGACAACATGGCGTTCAGGGCAGTGGTGTTAGCAATAACCCACTGGGCAGACATTCCCCAAGCTTTTCTGTCCATGATTCAGTCAGACAACACATTGGTAGTGCCTTACATCGACAAAGTACGGACAACAATCAATTTCTTCAAACTGATCAATTCACTTCACATCCATGTTTGGACAAGGCACATTTAAGAAGATGCAGAACATAATAGCACATGCTTCATCCTGCCCTGATTGATCATCCCCAGTGGAACAGCAAATTCATTCAGAGATCAGGGTGCATTGGCGTTCGTTTTTCTCATTCTTGACCAATTGTGTGAAAAGAGATGCCAAGCTGATGGCCTTGATGTCCGCTGGGGCGTGTATGAGATATCTGTCATGTTGAACCTTATTATTGATTTCCCCCATCTCAGACACATGGAAGTTAGAAGTCATGACTGAATGGGTATTTGCTTGTTCAAAGCCACGCTGTCATTCAGTAGATCAACAACCTGCATGAAGATACGGAACACATGAGCAACCCAGATCGTTTTAAGTTCATGCGAGTAGTGCAAACAGATCTTTAGAAGCAGTCCTTCTGTTTGTATCATCACTATGGGTTGTTCAATCACCAGTTTAGGACCAGTTTTGTCATTTACATTGGTTGATATCTTTTGTCATGCTATTCCATCTCTTCCAACCACTTTATAAATGCAGATTGTGACACACAAACAACAAAGAGTATCAGTATTATAAATTCTCTCTCTGAATAAAATGTTGTAAAGACATACATTGACTTCAGTTTTTTTTTTCAGTCCTAACATTCTGTTTCCCTGGCAGATGAAGTTAAACTTCAAATTCTGCTCATTTGTTATCATAATAATGAAGATGGAAATATTAATGAGTAAAAAAGATTTCATCTTTGTGTGGATCAATGGAAGGATATAAGTATAGATTATATGTATACTACCAGGTAGTCATGGGGGAAAACCTGTAACAAAAGCAACAACCAGCCCTGGGGAATTTCTCTGGATCAGTGTCCCTTTAATGTTCAAGTTTGCACCACTGATGCTCTATCTGGTTGTATATATGTTGGATAGAAGTGAGGTTTTGCTGCATGGCAAATTGAGACTTTGGAAGGGAAATTCTGTTAGTGGTTCAAGTGATTATGGTTTGTTTACAGTCTAGAGCACTTTGGTTGAAAATATGTTATTTTCATGTGATGACAGCCAAAATCCAGGAAATTGGCACTGGTGTGATAGAGGTGGTATCCTTTGAATTATTAACAAAGATCACTATTGTTTCATGTTTTACTTCACAGGTCCAGGGGCAAGTACGCAAAACAAAAGCTAGGTTTGACAAATTGAAACTGGATGTAATGCAGAAAGTGGACCTCCTTGCAGCCAGTCGATGCAACATGTTCTCTCATGTCCTTGCCAACTACCAGTCAACACTACTACATTTCTGGGAGAAAACATCGCGTACCATGTCAGCAGTTGCTGAGAGCTTTAAAGGATATCAGCATTATGAGTTCAACATGCTCAAGGTTTGTCATATACAGTTGAGCACCGTTGTCTCCATATTCATGGGACTTAGAAAAAATATTGAGTTAATAGAACTTCGAGACGTCCGAGCAGGGCATATCATCACATATCACTATGAAAGAAAACAAAACGCTTCTCAGTATGTTTTGATTCGAAACTATAATCCGTCATCAGTAGTGTTTAGTCGTAATAGTGAGTACTTCCTAATTAATTCCTTCTTAAATCTTATTAAATAACAAACAAGTGACACCTTCAACTCAATTAGCCCTAATTAGTTTACACGACCGCATCCCATTGATTCATGCCGCACCGTGTGGAAACAATCTCAGTTCAGAGGGATACTTGTCCTTGAAAAGTAGGTAAATATCGAGTTTCTTTGCAAATATCAAGTTAAAAGGGTAATTTTGCTTGTTGGGACCATGACATTAGTATCTATATTTTACAATAAGGAAGATGATCATCCATGAACACTTGTCATTCCTATTGCTTACAACTTCTAGAAAGCCTCTCAAACAGTTCGGACACCAACTGTTCAAAATTGTTTATCTCTATTTAGAAGCATTGTGTAATAGTGTTACATTCTGGTGGAAATGGCATGACTCATGTGTTGTTATCATTTGATTTGTGAATCACTGTCATTGGATTAGTTTCTAGTGAAAGAATCATAAATATAGTTGGGACATTGTCAAGATGTTCAAAGCTCTGAGAACTTTTTAGATTCCAATTAGCAATTCTTAGCATGCCTGGGAGGGTGACACGGAAACTTGTTAAACCGTCATTGACAAATGAAATTAAAGTATTTTACATGAAGGTAAGATAAAAAACTAATGCTGTCGGTTCCAAATGAATTCCCATGCATCAAATACTCAATAACACCCGGAAATTGGCGAACACATGATGTTTATCTCCTAATTCTGACCTGCTGATGAGAAACATTCTCTATATATTTGGAAGTTGGGGACACTGAAAGTCAAGAGTTGATATTTAAGTACTATCAGACCTTCAAGTACATGCTAGACATCTTAGGACTTGATGATAAACATTGTGTCATACGATTAACTGAGTGTATGTTTTTGTCATCTATTGTCATTTTGTCATCATTGATCAGCACTTAAACTGAGGAATTACCAGATATATATTTAAGGGCTTCCTATTTTGACAGGAGCTTGCAGAACCTAGTAGGCAACTTTTGGAAGATGCACCTAAAAGGCATGAAGAACCACAGAAAGATACTGACAATGATGGATTTGATCCAGAGAAGTAAGTTTTTTTTCTAATCACCACCTGTAACTGCTTGACACTGCATGTTTGTTAGATTGTGTAAACACTCAACAACAGGAAAGACAAATTATGTAGAATGATACCTTTTGCCTTCTCTGCATCATTGTGCTCATATGCTTAGTGTGTGAATGATTAACTGATGATTTTGTTGTTGTCTTTTTGTTGTCTACTTGATTTTTGCCAGTCATTTACCAGCAATTCTTAAGTAAACTAGTAACCTTTCATGTACTGTTGCTTCAAAATGTGCATGTGTCCGTTTTTTCTTAAACCAACAATATACTGGTGTTGTCGATAGTGCCATGCACACCAAATTACTCTTTCTAGCTACTTCCATTAGTGATTATAATAGTTGTTGTCGTTTATTGTTGTTGTTGCACTGTGTTTGTTTCTGTGGCAAGTGTGAGCAGTGAGGAAACTCGCTCTCAAGAGGATCACAGTGTAGAGGAGGATGAAGATGAGGAAGACAGTGTTAGAAGAAATGAGAGCCTCCCACGTTTAAAACCTACTCATGGCCCCACCTCTGAAGTTGATAGGTAACTGTGTGTATGGCCTTACCCTCCAGGTGGTCAGTACCTGCAATATATAAAATCACAAGAAATCATCTTACATTACAGCATACTGTAGTTCAAACAAACTCTTATATTATACTCATAGAAACAAATAAAGGATCACATGAACATTCAAGTGTTTATTTAATAGTTTTTTAATAGTTTTCATCACCAGCTTTATAAAGTGCTGTGGGAGAAAATCTGAGAATAAATAAAGGATCACTGCCATGAAGGGGTGTTTCCTTATTTGTTTCCTTCAGTATATATACTAATGTCATAATGAACTATTTTAGAAGTACCTGATTTCTTTTTATGTAATGTTATACAAACTTCAAACATGAAACAAATAATTTTTCCTTATCCTGACTCATGATCTTTGCTTATCTCCCTTTTCCTTCCGAATGGTAGTGGAACACTTTAATCCCTTGAAGTTCCCGAAGCGGACGTACAATACTCACCCACGAGTTTACCTCCCTTTGCCCTTGCCCACGCAAACCAGTCATGTGACGCGCCTTACTTGTCACTCTCTCCCCTTTCCGCCCACACGGATGTTTGGGCGAGCACTGAGTCCCGTATACGTCAATCTATTATTTATATTTAGGCCTATTCTTCTAAATTAAGCTGTGTGTGGTTTTGGTTATAATTACGATGTAATGTTTGTACAAAATTGTTGGAATTTATTGACTTTGAGTCGTGGTTTCATTGTGTTGTAACTTTGTTTACAATTCATGAAATCTTGTTTTGTGTGTAAACACAGGTTGTCGCTGGCTGATCCTCACACCCAATGACTCCATCATGTACAGATCCATGTTCATCCACCTTGCGCTGTAGCTACTGTGTTGATTTAACTGAATTACAATTTAATCAATATCTGTCTTATGTTTATAGACGTGCCATGGATCGGGTGAAAAAGTCATCTCTAGTCACATGTGATAAATCTGGAGATCAGGCCAAAAAACCGTATGTTGCTTGCTGCTGATGTTGGTAACAGTGATATAATGCCTAGTACATTACAGAACCAGTCTGTGGCAAAGGGGGCTAAGAAAAGGTCGTCATCCTCGCAGCTACGCCGTCCCAGTCTAAGAAGAAGGCGGCGTCCTCCTCTACGACGCAGAAGAGATCTGCGAGTACAAGACCTGAGGGCAAAATTACATGTTCTACCGCTGTTAAGACAGAGATCTTTCAACGATGAGATCGTACTGCCGCATGAGAAAGACGTGTTTGACGACCCCCCTATACTTCTACCTGAGGTATCGATGACATCTATGACGCAGTCGATGTTTACTACGACTAGATCATCACCTATGAATGTCACAGCAGGCCAGCTGTTCGACATAAGACCTCCTACTTCGAGGACAGAAGTTGAGGCAAAGTAAACAGCATCGCAGCCGGCACAACTAATGCAGAACTTCGACCCGGGGGGGAGTTCCTGATGATGGCTATGATGGAGCAGAGATTCCAGCAAGAATCAAGGAACCCGCAGTCATCTGCAGAGAGATTGTCAGACTCCAGACGCAGCAGAGCAACGAGTCTAGACGTCATCATCTTCAAGTCGCTACCAGATCTAGATCTTGCAGACGTTTGCGAAGCTATTCACCACATCATAGAGGTTCGCGAAGCTCACACCACAGAGCATCGCATGAGCACAGATCAGCCTGCAGAGCAGACGTTCGCAAAGCACAGCTCTCATTATTCGAAGTCACAAAGTAATGAATCGGCGGTAGAAGGTTCGCGAAGGCACAGCTCTCCTTACAAGGGTTCGCGAATGTACAGCTCTCATTAAAAGGGTTCGCGAAAGGATGATGAGTCATCTAGAGGTTCGCTAACTCATCTTTCCCAAGATAAAGGTTCGCAAAGTGGGGAATCATCTGAGAAGGGTTCGCGAAAGGACAGCACACGAGGGAATGCAGATTCACAGGCAGATGAACAGCGCAGTATTAGCTCTATTCAACAACCACTACAGGAGCAACAAGAAGACCTTGTGTTTCCTGATCCAGAGATTACAGCTGGATAGCTAACGGCCTGAATCTGCAGTCACCATCTAAAGATACAGACGACATCCTCTCCTATCAGATGCATGATGACAAACAAGTGCAGACATCTACAGGTTTCGCGAACTCTCAGATCTACAGGCAGATATTAGCAAGCAGATATCTACAAGGTTCACAAACTCTCAGATCTACAACACATCTACAGGGTTCGCAAATCCAAGGTTTAACAACCTTAGGTCAACAGGCAGAATGTTTACGTCAACTCAACAAAAAGATCTACAACATGTGCGATCTCTACAGTTTGCAGCCTGCTCAACTCTACAACCGGTATGAACCTTACACCTATCTACATAGGTTCAGGTTTAAACGACAACCTACTTGATGAAAGAATCCCTTCATCTACACGGATGCGGAGATATATACCGGGTAGCAGATGGCCTGCGGAAATTGTCGTTCACTCACTCACTCCAACCCATCTGAGACGTACTGCATATATGCTGATGACTGTGACTTCAAGATGATATCACCTATCAAGCTGATATATCAAGTTTTGCAGATATAAGTCTCGACAGCCTACTTCGTCATGCTGGCTTATATTATCTACAGTGGGAAGAGGTGATTTATATCACTGAACAAGAATTTACGCCTGGATCAACCCTTATTCAAGAGGTTTATATGAGCGGCGTAGAGGTACGCACGCTTTTACTCAACCAAGACTGATGACATCACGCTCGGAAGCTGATTGGCCCACGTCAGACGACACCTCCCACTGACAGAGCAAGCAGCAGAAAGTTTACTGACTTGTAAACAAAGACGCGGTACGGGGGATTACTTCATCGACAGCCATGTAAACAGTATACAACTACGGCCTGTTATCATCGGGGGAATCTGATAGATGTCTACCCTTCACAGCAGCATGAACAAGATTTATTTTGGAAGTTGTTGCTGAGGAAAGTCGGCATGAGTGCCTGTCCCTGGCAAGGCTACACTGCGCCCAGCTGTGCTATAAATAGACAACGCTTCCAAGTATGCTGATCAGCACAGATCGCCTCCATATAGAGGGGAAGAATGATGTATCATCACTGCAATCAGAGGTTAGCACTTCCGATGGAAGATCCTACGGTTTGGAATATTGGCGGCTTTATGATTATTATTCATACAAATAATCAAGACTATCGGCACCGATCGATAACATCGAGGTCTATGCAGTGTCGGGTATCCGGACGACGGCATGCAGTTTTCTTCAAAGTGCCAATCAACTTTAACAGCAGCTGAACCTCACAATTAAGTTGCTCACGCAACTAGGATGGCTAATTAACCTGATGAAGTTGCAGTTAGAATCAACAAGATCTTCTATTGCTGGGAATCATCACAACAGAGAACGTATTGTCATCCCAGAAGATCGTTGGGTTAAGATACAAGCCATGATACCACAAGCAGTCATCTCTCCGTTTACACTACGATCATGGCAAGTTCTACTGGGTCTACTAACCTCAGCACAAGACTTAACCCGCACAGGAAGATTACAACTGAGGCCGTTGCATCGATTCCTGACAAAACATCTAGACAGCGCCGATCCCATCTCGCTACCAGACAACCTCAAGAGGTATCTACTCTGGTGGACTACCAGAGTGACCGAACCTCCTAGTACATCCGCAGACACCAAGCAAGCACATGGGAACCCAGCAGTGTTCCAGTTACAGGTATGGACCGTGATCAAAGCATGCTTGACTTAAGAGAGGATACTCTGCCAGAGCAGCCAAGCAGTATCGCTTGCGCTACGCAGATCAACTCGCAGTCTATACGATGACAAGTGGCTGAAGTTTGAACCTTATGCAAGGCGGAAGAACTTCACTGCGATAAAAGTGACTCATCCTCAAGTGGCGGAATACCTGTGTCATCTGAGACAGACGAGACACCTTAAAGGTTCGACATTATCTACATACCTCGCTGCCATCAGTTCAGTGATCACCATGATAGCAGGCATCAAACTGACAAAAGTTCCAGAGCTACTAGAACCAGCAGAGGAAGTTTAGAGCTCCGGCCTGGGACCTGAACGTCACTCTATGTCATCTCACCAGTGATGCCTACGAACCTTTACATCAACACTGGACTTCAGCCGAACTAGATTCGACGCAGCGAAATGAGGCAGTACATCTAAGACTTAGATGGGACCTCATCACCAGTGATGCCTATGAACTTTACATCAACAACCTTCGAGTTGCTGACACAAAAGACTCTGTTCCTGCTAGCGTTAGCCAGAGCATCAGAGATACATGCACTGGACTTCAGCCGAACTAGATTCGACGCAGGGCGAAATGAGGCAGTACATCTAAGACTTAGATGGGACTTCATCGCCAAGAACCAACTACCTGGCCAATCAGATAGACAGTTCCAGGTACCAGCGCTATCTACAATCCTCGGCCGTGAGGATGTAGAAGATTTATCCTTGTGTCCAGTCAGAGCTCTGAAGATATATCTTCGAAGGACTAAGACAAGGAGGCAAAAAGTTCAAGCGCCTATTCATCCCGTTATCTACAGAGACGATGACAGAGGTCTCGAGAATGATATCGTTTTGGATGAGAGCCGCCATACTGAGAGCCTATAAAGCAGCAGGACTAGAACCTGCTGCTGGAAGTCGGACACAGTGTTTGCCAACCACTACCTCCGAGACATAGCCACTGAAGACGTCTCAGGCATTCACCAATTTGGGCCTCTCGTTGTAGCACAGCTACTAACAGTTCCTCAAAGGCACTGAGTTGAAATCTCACCCTTTATCACGTTGACTTAAAGATGACTTTTACTAGGAAGTATTAGTTTGAAAGTCCATGCGCACAGTCTAGGACAGACTAGCATGAGTGATTAAGATCCTGTGCGGGTAACAACCTAACCTGCACATAAAGGGATCGCAACTCATTTATGATAAAGACCTTATCATAATCCATGGGTTGTTATAAGATATCTAGTACAGAAGAACTAGTTTATCAATAACCACACGAATCAACATGATTCATCCTGTCTGAGATTGAAGTAAGACAAGGAGTGGTCCCCCCGAGTTACTACGCAAATTGGAAGAATAGGACCACGGAAATGCCGTTTGCAGTTCCCATGGGGGGGATACAGGACGTATCTAAGGACAGATGTTGAATCCAGTGGCTTGACCCACCACCTATTTCCGATGGATTCTATAAGCAAAGATCATGAGTCAGGATAAGGAAAAATATGTAATTTTTTAAGTAAAATTGATATTTTATACTTATCCTGACTCATGACGAACAAGCCCTCCCAGCCTCCCCGTTGAAGACACTTGAGATTTCACAGCAGATCCAAGTGCATGGGCAGAAAATCAGGAGAGAGTGACAAGTAAGGCGCGTCACATGACTGGTTTGCGCGGGAAAGGGCAAAGGGAGGTAACTCGTGGGTGAGTATTGTACGTCTGCTTCGGGAACTTCAAGGGATTAAAGTGTTCCACTACCATTCGGAAGGAAAAGGGAGATAAGCAAAGATCACGAGTCAGGATAAGTATAAAATATCAATTTTACTTAAAAAATTACATTTCTATAACCACTTGATGACTCGAGAGTGAACTGACATGAAAGTTTGTAACACCAAAAATGATAAATATTGATTGTTTACTTAAGAAATAACCCCAAGCACCATTTATCTTCAATATTTGATTCACCACTTAACCAACATTGCCAATGTGATAATGAAATGGAGATAACGCTGGCTTTATGAATTACTGGGGCGATAGTTTTAACATTTACTGTCAGTTGGTTGGGGCTGGAATCATCTGTTATCACTGGCTGAAACTCCTAATTACAAGAGCACAATGCCAGCTAGGCTTACCCTATGTCAAACAATGATGTGGTGTTTGTGAAGTCAGGAGGAGGATGGAAAATATATTTATGACAAAAATAACACAAAGCAATATATATTCTGTAAAAGCAACCTTGCAATACGATTACTTCAGCTGAATGATTATGATTTAATGATGTAGTTAAGTACCTTTTGGGGGATATGTTGTGTTATATTAATTATATTAGATTTCAGCCATTAAATGGAGGTTTTATTTATTGTTTGTTTAACACAGCACAAAAACAAAACAAAATCTACCAACCAACATTTCTGTTGAACGACCAAACGTACTCATACAGTTGTTGATCCAAGCAAGAAGCATCTCCTCAGATGACACCCAGGAAGAGAGCCCATTTGTAAATAGACAACTGACGTAAAAAAACACTATATTTGCTGGTGGCAACATGAAACAAGCCAAACGGGTCATCAAGTAGTGATGTGTTTGATGCAACTATTACAGATTTGATTTTGAACTTCAGTTTTGCAGTGTTTTGGAGACTGTTTTCATTCTCTCACAACTGTTTCTCTCAGCCACATGCTTTTGGCGACAGCAAACTTCAGATAATCTTTTATGAACCCATAGTCTGGGAATAAGATGTTAGCTGTTGAATGAAATGTTGTTCCACAATCTTACCAACCAGGTACATATTTGACTTCCAGAAAATAAATAAAGGCTGTCTCTGCCTGTGAAAGGGACTTTTGTGTCTGATTGCTATTGCATCCACTCGCAATTGTTTCCCTCAGCCACATGCTTAATAATTTCTAACTGATGTTTTAACTCAAAAGTTGATTTTGATGCAGTCTAATAGATGTCAAAGGAATTTGAACAAACGTGTGCTGTGAGACAAATCAGCAAGGGCTATTTCTTATAAATGGCAATTTATCAAAACTCTTCTTTTGACAACCCTTCCACTTTTCAGTGATGGGTATGAGACTTTCCCTTCAATGATGTGATGTAGATATAAATGCATGGTTCCCCAGACAGGGTATTCTCAAATTTAATATTTTCATTGCCCAAATGCAAACGACATAACAAGCTGCTCCTGTTGTCAGAACCATAACACGAGATGCGCATTTAAGTAGTGCACATTCAAAGGGAAGTAACTGAATGCAGGATCTTGGGGTTTTTTTACAGTTTGGAAGCATTTCCCTGGCATGGTTGTATGTTGGAGATGCGGAATATGTGCTGATTATTGTGTAATATGTATAGATGGAAATATAAATGACAGTGACAGATGAAGATGGGAATATAACTGATACATGTGACAGACAATTGCAATTGTTCAAAGAATAGAAATTCTGGAGTTGTAAATTTGGAGCAATATAGGACATGATACAAGTAGCAGAATTTGTTTATGTAGTAACCACCTATACAATGTGCACTGTTCTTTTTTACACAGGCTCCTGGCTTTTGACGATGAATACCGGGATGAAGATGATAACAAGGAAAACACATCAGATGAAAATCTAAAAAATCTCCAAGTTAACCAAAGTTCATCAGGTTTGTGTTGAGTTTGAGGGTTATCAGATACACTAGCTTGTACATCACATGTTAGCCACCAAGACTGGGAATTAGACCTGATTTTCACAAACCATAATTTATGTTACAAAACTTAAATCATAGAACTGGAAAGACAAGAAAATAGAAACATGATATATGATTTAAGTTCCTGCGATTTCTGAGACCAAAATTAAATACAATGATATCAGATGGTGGATGGCACTATGTTTGATGTCTTAGAGCTTCTCACAATTGTACACCATTCTTGCCGCCACACTTTTGTTTTCTGTACTTGTATAATAACTCAAAAACACTTCCCCACTGTCATCACAAGCCTGGAACGACCATTAGAACAAACAAGGGAACCACGACATCAGCTTAGGGTCAGGATCAACCAACCTATACTTGGACCTATAACTATAACAGAGAAATAAACAGTTGTGAGATGGACAGCGTCGACCTTATTGACCTGACTTTATATGTAGATTACAGCGTAAGACTGCTGACGTGATGCCAACTCGGGGGTCCAGTAGGAGGACATGTCCTGTTTCATACCTACAACTATAAGAAGATATACCACTGAATTCTCAATATGGTATTGAACTGGTTCTTCAGCCACTGTATGATCCTGCACTTATATGCTGTCCTGAAGATTCCTCCTGGTAGCGGCCAAATATCAGATCTAGCATTTCTGTTTGATTGGCAATTTAGATGTTGATGAGTAATAAGAGTATTCTTTATGGAATGCAACTTCTTTAGTATATTATGATGCAACGTTTCGGTTTCTTTCCTGCCAATGGTATAAAAATCTGTACCAAAATGTTGCATCATGTTACGAAGAAGTACCCTGCCTTTCTTATTCCTCATTAGGAATTTATTAGAAGGCCATATGATACTGAGATCAGAAATGACTTTTGCTTTCTGGTATTTCTTGCTCAAAAGAATTCAGTGGTGATGAGGATAACAGACATCATGATCCTAAAGTTCTCCTTCCCAATACCACCAGTCAAGTTCCAGGTGGAATCAAAATTGAAGTTGAATTGAGAAATTGCAATACTATACTTCCTTCATCCCGAAAATATATTCACTTTTCTGTCAACGGAAGAAGGTATGAAATTTCAAGTCCTCAAGATTTTCTTGATTCAGTTCGTGACATATGTTGGGTTCCTTATATACCCAACAAAATCAGAGACAATGGGAACACAACACATCATATAAGAAGTGAGCGATTCAGAAAAGCATGTTAAAAAAAATGTTAAGAGTGAAATCAGCTCATCAGGGTTGTTCCTACTACGAAGACTGACATCACTTCAAGATGTGACATGCAGAAGGAGATTGATACTACATCCTCTCCATAATTTAATCAATACTTGGAGATCACAGGCTTAGATACTCTGGTTCATGTACCATCAGATGCACAATCTTCCTTGGTGGAATCACAGAGATCATGTTGTGAAATGTATTTCTTTAGTTAATCTGACACTGGAGCATCATCTGTTTCCAGACTTATGAGAGAGGGAACCTATATGGACAATCTCAAGGTTTAGGGTGTTGGGAAGACCCCCTGAGGGAACCTTTTATATCAACTGCCCAGATATGATGGGTTACGATTTTGCTTACAACAACTGGAGGAATCACCTAGCTCACTCAGTGATAGCTCACATTCAGAAGTTAGAGGGAACCAAACCCTGTTCAAGGAGTATGGTGATTTTACCTTCGCAGGCTCAATCATTTGCCGGATGGAAGTGAGACATTTTCCTGGGAGACTTAATATCCTACTTCTCTGTTCAGTTATTTGCTATTTCTAGGAAGCAAGATAGAGGGTGTTAAAGGTTCTCTTATGCTCCTGGGAACTACAATAGTTTTCATTTGTTCATTCTTTCAGTGTGTCATCCAGGTGCTGATATTGTATGAGATGTTTCTTAATTTTGAATTTTGATTCAGAATATACAATACTGCACCTTGATATACACCATATCCTTCATTTCTCAACTTCATTTTCAGTATTGGCTACATGAGCAACTTTAACATTGTGACAATGACTTTTTGATCAACATTCTCACACTGTTGACAATGTTGACTTCTATAATTATACTTGCATTTGGATTAAGGAAAAGTGATTCAGCAATTCTTTTGTTTTGCATGTTTTTGTGTGAGGGAATTGATGTGTCAGATTCCTCATTCACTTCATTCATGCAGGGCAAGATTACCAGCCATTCTGTACATTGTTAGTTAATCTCATAACATGGCAGACTCATGAGGAAAAAACTAAAAAATGCTCAAGCATTATGTCATTGGACTGCTATAACTGCAGATGTATGTGCACAGCCTAATGAGGAGTTGCCTACATATACTCCTGAGTCTCAGAATTGTCCCCAGTCTGACTCAACTGTGATGTCTTTAGGAAGCAGGCTTTGATTGAAAGGTACATGTATCTGCCTGTTATAACTGATACCATGGCTATTTTCGACGAGAGCAGCTTTTTTCCAGGAAGACCCAGAAGCATGACTGAACCCAGAGGCCACACTGGACACAGTTTGTCAAAATATACAGTCCACATCTCAGAGAGCAGTGGAAAGACGTGGTATTGTGGTCACAATAATGGTGTGTAAATTTGTCTGAAAATAGTGCACCCATTGGCTAACTAGCTATAAACTTTACTTGTCAGTTTCAAATTTCAACTGGATAGGTGTATATACAAAAATCCCAACTAGCAAGTCTGACATTTCAGAGCCATCCTGAAATCCTCGTGAGTCTGCCTGACAAGAACATGTACAGTCACTGGGCAAACAATGTAGCTATGGAACATCTAGCCTACATTTTCTTATCACTGTAAGGCCACCAACATGAATAGAAGCTAGGAGTAACTGTAGTGAATGATCTACACATGTGCTGCAGGGACAAATAGGAAGTGGTCACCAGCAGAGAGTCTTACCTCACAATTTCAGCTTGATTCAATCCATTCCAGAGAATCGTAAAGGTACTAGCAGTCACTGTAGCCATCGTGCATCTGGCTCAGGTGTCAGTCTTGGCTGAAAGATGGATTGCTCTTGATTATGGAACAGGATGGGACCACCCACTCAGCCAGATCTCAGTTATGTGATTGGATATTACCTATGGGTCAGGACTGATCGCTCAGTTTTTTTCATTTTGACCAAGGTGATGAAGATATCCAGCATTCTGTGTATTGAGCCTGGCATTAACTGTCACTCATTTGTTGACCTTCGAAGTCTGATTTAGCACCACATCCACAACTAAGAGATAAAAGAGATTACACCTCAAATGTTTGAGTTTGCCAGATGTTACCGCCTTCCACAAGAAATGGTGCATCTATCAGATGCATAATGGTTCCTTGCAATAAGGTTTGGTGAAGATTACTCTGTTCCCATAACCACAGAAATTACAGTATCTGAGTTTTATGTGTTAGGTTTCTCTGGCCTTGTGTATGCTGAGGATTGGACTTCTATCACTTTCAGATCTCTCACAGACTTCAGGCTCCCTTGTGGAATCCTTGTTATAAGTGAGATCCCCTTTGTGATCATCATTGTATAGTGAGAGTTTGGCAGATCATAGTTTAACAGCCGAAATCATGCTTGGAGCTTTCAGAAAAGATTTGAAGATTACTGGAAGTGAGGATATTGTAGCTGGAAGAATGTTTCATAACTGGAAGTGATGCCGCTGATGTTAAATCTCAAGACAATTTGTAAAGGTCATCTGATCATGTCACAAGTGGGAAACAGATACAGATAAAATAGTTCTTAGTGGAATAATCACACATCTGCATGTAACCTGGACATCTTTCTGAATTAGTCCTAAGATGATTTTGTTAACCTAAGTTTGGTCTGTCACAAGTTTGAAGGTCTGTGGAATAATGAGGTACAACTGCTAACTACTAGTATCCAAGGGTTACATGTCTGAACTAACCAATACCACAAGCATATTCTGGCTAACTACTAGTATCCAAGGGTTACATGTCTGAACTAACCAATACCACAAGCATATTCTGGCTAACTACTAGTATCCAAGGGTTACATGTCGGAACTAACCAATATCACAAGCATATTCTGGCTAACTACTAGTATTCAAGGGTTACATGTCGGAACTAACCAATACCACAAGCATATTCTGGCTAACTACTAGTATCCAAGGGTTACATGTCGGAACTAACCAATACCACAAGCATATTCTGGCTAACTACTAGTATCCAAGGGTTACATGTCGGAATTAACCAATACCACAAGCATATTCTGGCAATGTTCTTCAAGAGGCTTTGTATTCTTGGGAATTATCAAATAGTAAGGCTTTACATCTTGCCAATGGTCAGAAACTTGTGCAGCTGATGGTGCAAATATGGAGATTTGTAGTATCATGCTTTGAGTGTTATGATTGGAAAACATTTACCCTGCTGGCTGGACAATGGAGTATATGGCTAAGTCTGGATTAATTACTTTGCCCATGTTTATAAGATTTTCATTGGTTAAGATGTGAACTTTGGAGAATGTTAGGAACAGTATCAACAGTTCTGAAAATGGAGAGACTTTCATACAGACTAGAATGTGAGATTCAACATTGCCAACAAGTCAATTCTTTAGTTCAAGGCTGTTGGTGAGGGTGACAAACATGAAGTGATCTCTGATGTTGATGGAGAGAAACTTGAACAGTCAGACACCATATGGATTGGCTAACAAGGCCCAGTTTGACATTAGACTTTACTTTTTCGGGCTAAGTTTTGTAAACATGGAAAAAATGATGAAAAGTACAGGGATTATAAGAAGCCAATTGGTGGTTTCATGTTAGAGCAACCAGAGACCATATAATAGATTATTATATGGTCTCTGGAGCAACCTAATTCACCTTTCTGTTCACTGACATCATTCTTTGCCTACCTTCTTTGCCTACCTTGATAAGTTGCATCCTGACTTGACTATGCCAGTATCCTAGAGATTGTTTCTGCGACAATAATTCTACCAGGTACAACAAGAAGCCAATGGAGAAGAACTTGTTAACTACTTTCAAGCCTACTCTCATTTAGTGCTGTTCTTTGTCCCTGGTTTATACTAACCACTGTATTGGCGCCACAAGGGCCCAAGCCATGACTGTTTTGCAGGTGACAAGAGCCATCTGTCAGAAGGTATCAAACAAGGCAAAGACATATAAGTAATGTCATATCCCCCGCTATGGATCTTACTTCTATCCCGTGTCTACCTTGACAAAATCCAACAGCGGCGTTGCATGTCACATGCTGGAGGAGACTAGAGCTTTGGCTGATATCGACCCACAGAAGGAAAGCAACAAGCTTGCAAAACTGAGCAACTTGATCCGGATGGCTTATTGTGCAAGTTTCTATTGTAAACAGGCAAATGTATCTTGGAACGATAAACCAAACATCACTTTCTCAAAATTTCAAAATGACCTCCTGTGAGTTAGGCACATTGCTTTGTGTCATCAGCTTGAACAGCAGGTTTGGAGGCCACACATGGTACAAGTGTTTGTGAGACGTTTTCTCTGCAATATTTTTGTGAAGATATTACAAACAGTTATTATCCCCCCCAACAAAGAAGTTGAGGGGGATATAGAAACGAGTTCCGTCCGTCTGTCCCTGCATCCGTCACACTTTGTCCGAAGCATATCTCCTAAACTATTCGTGATAGCTTAACCAAACTTGGTACACATGTCAAGCATGATCCGGTGATGTGCCTTTTGGGGGTTAGACCCTGATATGAATTTTAATTTTTGCGGTTTCCATGGAAACGTGACTTAGGCTGTGGCTATGAGGATGTCATCTTGTTGCATTTCCATGGCAACAAGTTAGGCTTCAACTGAATTTGGTGGTAGTGCTCCTTTCTGGAGCAGATTTTAAAAACCTTTCAATACTCTCCTTCCACTTTGCTGTACACACTCCAAAACATTTGACATAATCATAACTAGTAGACATATTCATAAAGAGTATTTTGCCGTTGGGGGGGGATATTGATGACTTTGTCTTCTTGCTGTTCACAGTTATGGCGACACTATTTCAATAACTTATTATTGTGAGAGAATTAGACCATTATCTTAAATTTGAATTCTTTTACTGTAGTTCTCATGTGGCATTGTGTTTACATACTGTTTATTGCTCACTTTGAAAAAGCCCCAACAGTAGCCATGACAGACAGATTTGTTGCAGCCTTATCCCTCAACAGTCAATGTAAACTTAGGCTCAATAATATTAGTTGAGCTGCTATACTGAGTCTAACAAACCCCAGTAGAAAGCCGCGTCAGCTATCCTTTTGAATTGACCAATCAGGACACAGCTTACCTTGACAGGGAAGAGAAAATAAAAAAACCCAACCCCAAGTCCCGTCGAACCCTAATTAGTAACCATTGTCTGAACCGTCTGATTCCTCAGGGTATACACAGAAGGTACGTCAGGCAGTATACCTCTTGTCATATTGCTACAGCTAATGTGTTTTGCATTTTCCACTGCTGACAACATAAATGTGATAGCTATCCAAATGAATTAATAAACATTGAAATCCAATGTATTCTGACAAACAGGAAATGTATCTGTTACAACCGTGTATTTTTTTATATTCTCAAAATCATCGTTATTTTTTTTAACAGAAGAAAACAACAAAAACAAACCCATCAAGCAAAGGAATAGTGATTTTGGGCCTTTCATTGAGTTTGATGAAGATGACAGCCAAGAACAGGAGGATTTTAGCTTTTCTGGGAAACTGTTGGAGAAAAGGATAGAGCTGAAGACAGAAAGTGGTGAGTGTTTTGTAAAGGTATCTAAGTCCCCAGACAGATCTGTGGAAAATAGAAATATGTCTTATTGAGTTCACATGGTACAAATATAACATGTACCACGAAGATAAATACTGAACATGACCGACCAAAGATGGCAGACAATATGGCCTACACTTAATACCATACAAGATGGCAAACACAAATACTTTTATGTGTCGACTGATCTTTCATACAACTATAATACATTATAACCTTATAAAATCCTAAAACATGTAAACCATGCCTATTACCATGACTGAACTTTCACTGATCTTGAAATACATTCAAAGTCAAATCACACAATTATAGCCTAAGCAATAATGTTGTTAAGTAACATCCTACATATTATTACATTTATAATTTAGTTGACTAACCTCTAGAAAGAAGGTGAACTGAACTTGAAACAGTCCATCACATACCAAAGTAACCACAAAAATAGAATAAGGTTTTAAAACTTTATTCCTCCCCTGAAGGTATAATTAAACCCCAATAACTATACTAAATCTAAACTAATTCTAAAAGGACTAATACAACTAACTAAACTAACTACCTAAACTAGCAGCGGATGCATATCTGCCTACCTCAAATATTGCTAAGGGACCGTTCATAATTTATGGCCATGGGGGATGATGATGATTTTTATGGAAAAGCATGTACAATGTGAATGACCCTCCCTAAAATTTATGTACAAAGTAAGTGACCCCCCCCCAGCATGTCATGTACAAGATCAATGACTCTCCCTTCCAATATTTTTTAAGCACACTTTTAAAAAAAAAAATTTGCATACAAAAATGCTGACCTTCCCTAGAAACGTGTACAAAATTGCTGACCCTCCCTACCTCCCCAGAACAAAATGGGTGAAATCATAAAAAAAAACCAGCCATAAATTATGAATGAACGGTCTCTAAGGTTACACTATCAACACTACTACTATCCTACTGTCCTAATACCCACACTAATATAGACAATGCCTATGTACAAACTTGAACACTAAAGAAGTGAAATAAACAACAACAATGAAAATTGCCACACAATATCAGATATATAACACTTTCTCATGAGAATGTCAGTGCACTTTTGTTCCAATTTCTGACATGTCCTGTGTATTGGTGTGGTATCTATCACACCCAGGCGATGGTTTCCCTCACTGAGTAGAAGGTGCCTGTGTAGTTGATGATGGCTGTGCCATCCACATCTCACTCTTACTCGGAGATATCCTCTCCTTACCGAGCGGCGGAGACCCTTTGTCTGTGTCATTACCTTATACTTTACACACTACTCCGATTTACATGTTTGAAAATGGAACTGTTTGCTTGGAACGGTAACTTCAGCTTCAGTAAGTGACTGTTACAGTATATGCATATATATATATATATATCTAGAAATAATCCATCAATTAAAACGTCTCTTGCCAAATATAATCAATCATGTACGAAAGTAATAATAATGAAACTTACGCCAGCCAGTGTGAGATGTATCAGAATATCAGTTGTTTGAACCCATGTAGGTGAACACAATGGTGCTTCTGGCTGTGTGTACAAGTTACTACCCCCTCCCACTGTTTATACTGACCTCCCATACCCAAGCTACTCAACACCTCTCTATTGGTTATCAATTAACTCCCCACCTCTCTGGCCATACCTGGTCACACTTACCTGAATACAATGACAATGACAATACTTTATTACCCGTGAGGGAATTCTTGTGTAAAGTACAGAGCTCAAACATTGATAAAATGATTAAATTATTTCCATACAATAAATAACACACATATAACACGCTAACAAGGTGAGACAAACACTATGAATCATTTAAAAGATTAATACTGGCAGGAACAAAGGATTTCATGGCACGATTGGATTTAAAACGGGGTAAGTTATAACGGCGCCTAGAAGGCAGTAATTTATACCCATAGTAGATGGGATGATCTGGATCAGATATAATCTTACGGGCTGACTTGAGAACTCTTTCTTCATATATTTCAGTTAGGTTAGCAAAAGATACACCTGCAATTTTACTGGCTAATAAAACTTTTCTGGTGAGACGGTTTCTGTTTTTAAGGGACAAGGTTCCATACCAGCATTGTGCAGAAAAAGCCAGAACGCTCTGTATAAAGCACTGAAAGAAAAGACACATAATTGATTATTTTTCCTTATCCTGACTCATGCTCTTTTGCTTGTCTTCTTCTTCTTGCGAACATAGTGGAACACTTGTATCTCCCTATTGAAGCTCCCTTCAATTGAAACATACGTAAAATCACTAATCACTACTCACCAAGAGTTGCCCCTCTTTGCTCCACTGGCGGGAAAGACGGCGCCACTGTGCCCCACATGCTTCACTCTCTCCTTCTTCGCCCAGTGAGCAGGATGTGAGAGCGCCTGTGTCTCCCTACGGCACTATATCCTTTGATTTTTCTTACTTAGTTACCTCTACAAGTCCCTTATAGAGGTTTAGCTAGTATCCTTCAACAATATGTTTTGATAATTATTCATATTTACTGCTGTTTATTTGCGGTGTATGCCGTGTTTGTTCAGTAGGTTACGTTCATGAAAATCTGTACTGTTTGCAAGTTACGTTTTTCTGCTGCTGATCCGCATTTAATATGCCCTAGCTGTACTGTACCATGTTCCTTCAGTTCACGTCGCAGTTATTGTAATAATTTATCTAATTCTGCTTTTAACAAATATTTACTTTGCGTCTTGAGACGCGCAGCAGATAGGTCACGTAAGCTACATCCAGGCATGGATAATGCTAGCGAATCCCAGTCCGAGTCCGAATCGCAGTCCGCTGTCTCCAAGAAGCGTCCTGCATCAGCCGCTCATCATACCCGAGGTTCATCACAAGAAACAACTGGTTTCAGCTACAGTGACGTCAGCACAGATCCGCAATCAACCCGATGTATCAACGCTGATGAGTGACGATCTTCCCATGGGTCCCATCGCTACCAACGCAGATAGGGCAGCGCCTACATCTTCGCAGACCGTCCCGGGCGACCTGGTGCAACAACTAATGAAGATGATGGAAGACCGCTACGGACTGGAGAAGAAACAACCAGCCCAGGGCGTGAGCCTTCGCGAAGGCCCCAACGTAGACGTCACCCCTGAGGGACCTCCCATCAACGTAGCGGCTGCTACCAAGTCACCACTGAGGGACCAGCCTGCGCGAAGGACGTCACAGCCTACCTCTGCGAAGGACCCAGACGATCAGCGTTCGCGAAGGCCTTCGAAGGAGGATCCTCTTATCCCCGGACTCAGATGAAGCTTCGCGAAGGACAAGTCGTCATTCCCTAGATGCGGACTCAGATGAAGCTCCGCGAAGGCCTTCGCGAAGGACACCAGTTACAGTCTCCAAGTCATCTTCGTCTCGGAGGTCATCGAGGGATTCCCCAGGAATAGCTTGCAATTTGAATGAAAGACAAAAGAAATGCACTGTAGCCAGTGACACAATAGGGCCAGGTAAACGTAGCAATCAAGCAGGAGAATGTTACCGGATATAATCCAATAAATAACACCATAACTAAACTGTTTAAAAACGAATATCATATTTACACAAATAAAACAGAGAACATGACACTGCTGTATTTACACAAATAAAACAGAGAGAACATGACACTGCTGTATTTACACAAATAAAACATAGAGAACATGACACTGCTGTATTTACACAAATAAAACAGAGAACATGACACTGCTGTATTTACACAAATAAAACATAGAGAACATGACACTGCTGTATTTACACAAATAAAACAGAGAACATGACACTGCTGTATTTACACAAATAAAACATAGAGAACATGACACTGCTGTATTTACACAAATAAAACAGAACATGACACTGCTGTATTTACACAAATAAAACAGAGAGAACATGACACTGCTGTATTTACACAAATAAAACAGAGAACATGACACTGCTGTATTTACACAAATAAAACATAGAGAACATGACACTGCTGTATTTACACAAATAAAACATAGAGAACATGACACTGCTGTATTTACACAAATAAAACAGAGAACATGACACTGCTGTATTTACACAAATAAAACATAGAGAACATGACACTGCTGTATTTACACAAATAAAACAGAGAACATGACACTGCTGTATTTACACAAATAAAACAGAGAGAACATGACACTGCTGTATTTACACAAATAAAACATAGAGAACATGACACTGCCGTATTTACACAAATAAAACATAGAGAACTGTATTTACACAAATAAAACATGGAAAATATGACCCTGCAACATATGAACAGTGCAGTGGTTTCCCAGAAAGCTTCTCCTTATATGACCGACACTGGGCAGCCTTGGTGATTGACTTCACCTGGTTTACTCCCAGTGCTGTTCCATGAACAAAATCAACCTCAACTTTGACATTGTTTCCATCAACCCTGCATACTTAGAATAAACCTTCATTGCTATCGTAATGAGTTTTGACGTGCATATTAACCATAAGTGACATCATCAGACTTACAGTTGATTGGAGTGTCGTCATCAGTGATGTCATCAGAAGTATCAATAACCTGAAATTATGTCATTGTACACCAAGACATGAAATACAACAGCATTAGATGTTCTCCAGTGTTGTCAAAACAACCAAACACAGGTCTATTTGTCTTATCAGTAAACATCTAGACTTGTAAATTGTATGGTCTTCCCAACCTTGTTGGGGTACTCTGAACCCACCAAGGCATGTGTGGGATTTTGCAGTAAAGTGTTAAAGGGACATGTTCATAGGAATCATGTGACAATAATTATAATTCTTAGCATTGTACCTCTAACACTTGCGGTAAAGGCAAAACCCATCCTTCCACCGGAATCCCAGGGTACCTTTCTTAAGGTATCCTAGGAAACATGAGGTTCCCCTCACACACATGTCAGTGGGAGATAACTCCAATGTATAGTGCTAGGAAAGACCACTAGGAAGAAAAACAACACAAGATGGTGGAAGTTTAAAAATTGTGTTCAAAT